ATATCGGAACCTTCTGCCTAAAGCTTACGCCCCGTGTAGAACTAACGGGATCCTGACATCAACAGTGAGGGTTAAACGGGCCATCATGAATGATTCATGAGGAGTTCCACTAACCCCTCCTGAAGACAGAACAGCCAACTGAAACGAATCGAGCCCACCACGACCCATAAGAAGCTAGCGAAGACATGTAGTCTGTCCCTCCCCCGACTGAAACTAGGGATTGACTAATGGCTGCTTTCAGATACATGGGAACTTTTGTCGATCACTTCATCACGTATACGTGAGATTTGCTGCTCGTAATCACACCTAGTAAACAATGAGAGTTCGTAAGAATTTCCGTCTGGTCAGCGAGCGTCATTGTTTGAACAATTACTAGATAACGGATAACACCAGAAGGTGCTTTCGTCGTTATCGAAGTAATACTTATGAGAGGTCAGTGATTATCTTGAAAAAAGGAAGTGGGATCATTTGTGAAATAGCTGTCGAAAACGTCAGCCCCCAAAGTTACTATAAAATTACCTGTGATATTCAGTGACATTATATGACTGAACGGCGCCCTGGTAAAACTTTTGTTTGAATAATATGTACCAGTATTCGCTGTCGCCCCATTCTGAGGGCCTATTTTTCGTTTGGTCTCATTTTGTTGTAGTATATATTTATCTAATGCTGTTACAGGTCAATGCATTGAAAAAATGTAAAAGACCGATAATCCTGTGCCTCCCGAGTGGTCTATAGCAGCGGTAGTTTCTGAGATGAAGCTATGATGCGGTGCTAATAGTTACACGATTGAATAGTGCCCTGTTATATAAAATGATCCGTCCAGAATGAGCGCACAATGGAAAAAAGGGGGAAAAACTAGGATTGGTACTGCTGAGTCAAATAAGCCGATCATCGTTCGCTAGCAGAGGTTCGTTTGGCTCTCGGTCGTCTATTTGTATGATGGGCTTACTCAGCGTTAATGCAAGCAAAGGAAACCCAATTTGCCAGTTGTTTAGACACTGTCTGGCGCTCGTGATCGCCTTAAATGTCCTAAACAAAACTTGCTAGTTATACCCAGTCACCTAGGCATCATCTAGCCTTTTCTCACTTTTTAGCCTTTTTCTCCCTAGTTGTAACAAATGTAAAGTTCACCCCATACAAGTGTTTCACGCATGACCTGTAATGTTCCAGCAGAAGTAATAGTAGTAATTATGGAGCATACGGCCCTAGGTGATTTTGGTAATCACTCCCTATCTCAGCTCTTTTTTACGGCCCATTCGCTTTACGTTATGTTTACGAGATCAGTAGCATTACTTTTTGACCCTATTGTTAACATTATCATTATTATTATTACTAGCAGGATTGAGCTACAACTATAGAAACGATTGCCATACCAATGGCATCTACCAGCAGATAAGGCGGGAACCGTGTTTATTACCGCCGTCTAGCAGTGGCCACCCGAGAGCGGCACCCAACAAGAAGCCGTAAATGGTGCCCCGTTCATCTTTTACTCATTAAACTTTTACACATCTTTACTGTTCAGTAAAAAGCATCTTCAACGGCAAAACAACAGCAATAGCTATAGCAACGACAGCGTTCTTAGGATGCTTTGGCTGAACGGGCCATTCAGTCCGCTATATTCAAACAGAAATGGTCCTGAGAGGGTACTGGATAGGCGTATCGAAAGGCCTTAAATGTATTTCTAAACACCGACAGCTTAGGCTGTCATAGTGGATAATTTAGGTCTTGGTAGAACTACTGGCTGTATCTTATCCTACAAAACTATCCGATTAGGCCGGTATTCCTTTAACAGAAGTGATCAAACCCGCCGTTCTTTACGTAGTTACCCATAGGTATGTTCCCTAGAATGTATACACTCGAAAATACGCTATGCCATGATAACCCGCACTCAACACTGCTTTTTTTTGTTTAGCAGCAGAGTGCCCGCCATTGAGACAATGTTGGCAACTCTCTAATGCTAATAAAACATAAACGTACTCCGCACAACAGGCTTTTTTGCGCTGCTACCGGATAGCATCGTTCAACAAGCGCCCCGTTCATCCAATCTCCATCAGCGCCATAAGGAACAGATAGAACGGTATCCTCATGTGCTCAAGGTATATTCTTAAAGCATCTTCTTGTTTTTGCTTAGTATACAGTCTCTTCCGCTGTCAGCGACATCGAATAGCGAAGTCTGTGTGTAGACAAGCTTGCGTACTGACGCTTTTGCAATATAGGGGCGATGTCCCTATATCCGTGCATATATCGCTATCCCGATTCAGTTTCTTAATGTGGGCGGACATCATGAGTGACCGCAGACGTTGCCCTCTAATGACATTTCATGAAGCAGTAATAAATTTAAAACGATAAGAAAAAATTAGTACTCATCAGTTACACTGAAATACAACGGATGAGCGTGATAACATCATCGATTTGATGATGCGAGCTTACGCATTGGCCTGATTGATTCCTAATACGGTCAAAGTGAGGCATTAGGAACACTTTCAAGCTTGGCAAAATGGAGTCTATAGACAATAATAGTAAATACCGCTTTCTGCGACCTGATGTTTGGCTGACTTGTGGTAGCTTAATGTAGGATCAATCTTTTCAAGTGTAACGTCCGGTGCAGGTCAGCGTTACGCTGTGGTTCTCTACTATAATAGGGAACAACTATTTAGAAAGCATCGAATTCAACGATACGTTAGCGGGAGTGCAGCGAAGAAAAAGCACCCTTCCTAGTGAATTTAGGCCGCACAGCGTCCTATTTAAAATGATTACTGTTTTAATTACATATATCTAGCTTATTAGGTAAATATTTTTAGTTGACAGGATTACGGACAGAGCCATAGCAGTGGTTTAGGTGCAGGCATAGTTAAATTAAATATTTTGTAAATAAATCATATGAAGAATTTTTTTATTTGGATACAAATCCTGTTATGAATAACCCTGTTTAACTTACATGAATTTTTTCAACGTTCGTCGTCATTATTTACTTAATTTTTCTACAAATCTATTTTCCTCTACAGGATTATTTTTTTACTACAAGATTACGCTTTCGCATAGTTGCCTATCAAACCCCGCAATATCAACCAACAAACAGCTCTGGAAGCGCGGTTTTTGTTAACAAAAGGGCAATCCGTATTACCCTTGAAGAATATTACAATACAATCGGAGATACAAGCAATCGGAAGCAAGTAAGTACAAGGAAGTCCTTGAGCCTATTAGATAAGGCTTGTTTACTGCACAGACAAGTCACCGAGGTCGTATGTATCCGATCTTTGTTCACGCCGGGCGAAAGGTATGATTTTTCATTTTCAGCAGGTGGAACATGATGTACGGAGGACAAACGTGTGCAAGAAACCCAGTTTTGTACCTTTTCAATGAGTTCTCATTTCGATGTTAGCTTAAGATAAAAACTAGCTACTTTATTTAAATACCCAAACGAGGCTAGTTTTCAGATGATGAAGTGCCTGGCGACGATACCGGGCATACAACTCGAAATACTGAGATAGACAGAGATACTCCTGGCGTCAGAACGAAACCGTGCTCAAGTTCAGAACCACTTTGTCCCTGGTGTGTGAACGCCACGATTAGCGGTCAGATACCGGTTAGACGAGTGGTACTAAGCGATTATCGTCCACAGAAAAGAGTTGCTTTAAACATAATTATAACGAATTCCCGTTTTCGTTTTTCGACATTAACACACGTAGGTAAATTCGTATATAATAATAATTATATAATAAGAAAAAAGATTCATGCGGTTACTTATGCGTTTCGAGGCGTGCAAAGCTTTCAGTCATCAAGCTGTCCGATCCAAGCTATTTAATCTACAGAAACCATTTTCCACCATCTTTGTTACAAACGAATAGCAAATACTTCACAGACCGCTTCGTTCAAGTTGCCGGAGCCTATTTCACAGTGATCATATGACATTAGTTAGAAACGATGCGATTTTTTTATATCAAATCAAAGACCGTAAAGTTTATTATATGAAGACCGTAACAGTTTTAAGTTAACAGCTGATTCTGATCTTGCAAAGCGCCGAGCGTCGCTTAACCGTTTCCCGTATCTCAACTCTCTATGAACACATCCCCGTAATTACATCGAGTGACTGCTTTATCGTCAGCTGGCTTTTAATCAGATCGCTTCTTAGCCGCTTTTCTACAGTGCGAGACGACATCATAACACTATGTACCCCAGTAGAGGCCAACAATGTCAGTCAACAGTGGCCGATGTTAGCGCGTAGTGATCAGGGCGCCGTCGTAAACGCCTCCGACGTCTAAGACCTTATTTGATCGCGTGACGCTCTTTAAACACAAGAAGCGTTTTGAATGTCTTGGACGCATCGCCTTGGAGACTCGTGAGTTCAGCGATGATCAAGCCCATCCAACAGCGGTTCGGAGAAACCATCGTGTATTGGTCACCCGCAGGAGCACAGGCAGATAGGCAAGCTGAAGAAGATAACGCCGATATCGTCGTGCCGTGATATGAATTTGGAGATAATACCGCAAATAAATATTCCCTCATATGATCGCCTATTTTGCCTGGTTATAGACTAGATATGGATCCAATCGAGTACTGTTATAATCAATGTTTGTCGGCGATGTCGCGTCGCTTAACGTTGTTTCTTTCTGAAGACCTCTTTTTACCGGGGAATCGCTGTTCATCTTCGCGTGTATGCGCGGTAGATATGAGTCGAAACGAGTACGATACAGAGCATAATTGTTACCTGAGGAGAACGCAGACACAATGCGAAGTCTAATAAGAGAGCACTTTTCTGCGGCATCCGTGCCCCGTACCTCGCGGCTCGTCATCAGAATATCATGTAAAAGCAGGAAAACCAACAATGGCGTTGACTGCCTGGCCGGCAACGGGACGATTTTACGTGTGAGTGGCTCTGGATGGCTGTTGCCCTCTCAACCGAACACATATATGGTTACGTCAAGCTGTTGCCGTCACGAGATGATGCCCTGTCTGTTTCGCGGCGCGGAGATAATGTTTCGGTTATGAGTGATGCTGATACTGTTCGGCTCTCGTATATATGATAATCTCTGTGAGGTGTACTTAGGCTGTGACTATTGCTGATGCTTAGGCGTCAAACCGACCAGAACACTAAGCTTGAAAGCCAACCACAGTTTAACTTTGCGAGGCAGCTCCTGCTTGGGAGGGGCAAAGCCCTGCTGCATGGGGTGCTCCGCCAAAGCTAGACGAGGTGCTACACGAACTATTGAAGGGATGGAGGGCAAAAGTTGTACGAAGCGAAAGTGATATGCCACCGATGCTGTTACTTTAATCTTACACATATACGTGAAGAATGTACTAGTGAAACTGAGAGATAGTGGCGGACGCGATCAAAAAGAAGGACTTTTAAGGGCTCAGGACGACCTGATGAAATCGGACGATAATGTTTCTATCGAACAAAGTGAGTTACTCATGATTATGATGGCTAGCAAAAAAAAATAGTACTGGAAGAGTCAATGTTGCTCGTTATACCGCTGCCTACAACTGGGATGCATCTGTTTGGTATTATTGAGAATAGCAGACACGTTAACGACTTGCGTTTTCTTTCGTTCAATAAGCAACGTTCTCAATCTATCCATAGGTGCGCGAATCGCTTTGGTTCGGTGCGGGTCTGAATAGGCCGGTTCACACTTTTAGGGTCTTCGTCGTTAGGTCTCTGCCATATGGGAAACTTCTGCCTCTAATTTTTTCTTATCTATCATAGTGTCGCGAATTTATAGTGCGCAGTAATGTAGTTTTCGAGACCGTTTTGGTTTAGGGATTATCATAACTGCATCAATAACTCTTCAAAATGAATGTCGCGATAATAAAAGTACATTTTCAAGATCAAATGGTATTCATTTGGATAAGGGAAAACCGTGTCTTTGGCACCATAGGACTGTTGTTCTTGTTCGATTTTTGGGAAAGCCCAGAATATCGGTCTTTGGGGTATTCAGAGGAAACGTCCGTAAGAAATATCGGACGCTGCTACGGCAATGAATGAATTCATGATTTTACTAATTGCTCTAGCCCATTTGGCTGGCAGGGTTTTTTGACGTGTGTGATGACGTCCCTTCGTTCTTTTTTTTTTTTTTTTTTTTAGCATTTAGGTAAGCGCAGTCGATCATGCAACTGAAAAAATGTTGCCATTTATTAAAGCTAACTTAACGAGTACATTTAGAGCTAACATTCTTACAAAGAGAGTCATTTGGAAAATTGCCAAAAATGATGTCTCAGTAACCCATCTTTTCAAGTATCGCCTCTATTTTCTATTTATACACAGCGTACTAAAAATAATTCTACCGATGGCAATAAAAAGTTCCAACTTATTGATCCTATTTCAATGATTAGCAATAGTTACGGTAGGTCCTAGCGTTTATTTTCATCACCTATAGCAAGAAAGGTACTTATCATTTTTCAGCGACTGTGTACCATTGCATAGTGCCAATTTCTGACTTTAAGGTATAAATTTATATAATATTTTTCGTTTTTGGTCGAGTGTTTCGTCGTCCATCTCTATTTGTCAAGAATCACATCAGTCTCTCTAAGGTTTTGCGATAGCATCCGCAGTGACACTTCTAGTATTTTTTGCGGGTAAAGCTAAATTTTACAACTAACGAGGCCGTTATAGAAAAAAAAAAAAACGATCTAAAAGAAACGTAAACGGTAAAGTGTAGGCAATAATTAATTGTTCTGCCGCGTCAAATAAAAACAAATTTATGGTTGTTTCTCACTACTAAGATAATGTTTACGGAGCCAATTGGACGAGCTGACTCGTTTCTATCTGCCCCATTCTTGTTTCCAATTCCTGATCCGCGTGAATGTTCACAAATCCATATCGATGATGAATCATCTCTTTACCATTCTTGCGATTAGCCAATTTGATCCATATCGAACTCTTATATATGAAAAAAAAAGTTTCCTGATCGAGCTATGCCTATTACCCTGAGTACATAACACTTAAGCTTTCCTCATCACTGAAGAGCAACATTATACGAGTCGTTTGGCTAATTGATATCAGTATCTGTTATATTATTATTATCTTATTGCTTCGTCTGTCGAAAATTAAGCGTTATATATATATATATATACAAACCGCAGAAACGGCTCAGGATAAGTATCTCGTACACAGGTGTTGACTCTCTATGGTTGACACTACTACGCCTTGCTAAATTCAGAACGAGCGCCTTCGGTCTAAAGCTCGATGAGAATCGATCTGAGCTGTCCTTCAACGAGGATAACTGCTAGCTCAATCTGAATCACAGGGAATTGCTTCCGCAGGTTTTTGTCGCCCGCAACAAGCCAGTATCAAAGATTCACCTTTTTCCTTAAGACATGCCTCACTGGCGAATCAGAACCCAGAGTAGAAGACAAATCCATGGTAACATAGCCGGCATACGCTGTTAGCTAGCAGTCAGACGAGAGGAGCCTTAAACAACAACTGTCATTACCTTTTTTGTATCAATCTGATATACATCTGATGTCTTACTGCTTAGTGGCTTCGTTTTCGAGTTGCATAAACCTAAGTATATGTTACTACTTCATGTAATATCCGCTGTTAACCAGCTGACATCTCGTCGAGCGAACGATGGCTTTCCATACGACTGCTAAATTGCGACTATGATAACGATGACAAACGAAATCCGCTTCCTTCCCGACCACTACTGCAATATAGTTTCTTGCTGAAACGGGAACGATTTGCTGTTCGTAGCCAGTACCTGGCAAGCTACAATAATCCATCTACTGCAATAACACGAATCAACCTCGAGCATCTCGAAAATCAACGGACACAAATGCGGCCGCCAATACTCCTTGTTTAGGATCGTTGCTTCGCCGCGATGCGCCCTCCCGAAACACGGGCGTCCAAATTTGGCGAGGTAATTCTAACGAATCATCTATAGGAACTGAGACGTACACGCCCGATTCAATGACGCAGCGAGCGGTGCCGGTAACGCTGTTCCAATGGTGCGAACTGTTGGCTCGGGAAGACATTAAAGGTTCGGTCCTGCCATCGAGACTCGACTAGGTCGTTGAACAGTGAAGCCTTTCCTTCGCTACTTGGGCTGGGTAGCTAAGGCCAATGGACGCGACGGTAGCTAGCTCTAGCCACGCCCTTCATTCAAATGGTTCCTCACTACTCGAGTTCTTCCTCTTCTCCTAGTGACTCACTGAAACACTGCTAGAGTAGGCGCATACAACGGGTAGTTGATAGTCTGTATTCCATCGCTAAGAAATTGTTGTGCCCATTGTGATTCTGGCCTATCTGTCCGCTTACGTAGGCCTATATGAGTCTATTCTTAAGTTACCTAGTGAACAGTGCGGGGGCACTCTCTACTAGGGCTGACCGGACAGTAGCATCAATAGAACTCGTATCATATAGGCTTGTACTACGACTTATGTTGCTAGTACTTCTTTAACTATACCCAAATCCTTTTGTAAGCCTTCTTAACATCGAACTCCGCTGCGGGTAGTCAGTCATTCATGTCTCATGAGCGTAGTCGATCGACAAGAAGGCGGTGACGACGGCGCACGTTCTCGAATAACTAGGTATGCACAGATATCGTATGTGTTATGTATAGAAACTCTTCTCCCCGATGTCGTTCGATCGGTGCGCAGCGTCCAGCACACAAGAGCAGGCGAACGCTATGATTCGTTGTATAGTAGATTTACATAAAATGGCTCGTGATCGAGACGATTTACTGAATGCGTTGCCTTTGTGTCGGCACACCATCAAGATTGACCAATTTATCTGTATGACTGATTTCAGCTTAACGAAAGTAGTTGTGATTTGTGCCCGTTTTCGCTAGAGCTCTTACCACCGTTGCGCTCCGAGACGATTCCGTCGTAGAATAGAATAGATATTCCCTTGGTCAATCTGATGTGCGTGTTTATCTGTGCTTCTCTCACGAACGTTTTCTTTTTGCGCACTGCGTATAGACAGATAATGTCGTTGTTGCTATCATCTCGTAGGCGAACTACAGTATTGTTTCGTATCGCACATACATAGGCACCCAGTTTGTGTTTTTCCAAGCTCTACAAAAACAGATTTTTACATGAGCACGCTCAGAATGTCGACATCTGGTTAATGTAATTGCTTTTTTGAGCCTTTAATGTGGAACAATTAGATCTTGTCAATTCGCGTGAGATAATTTCGATATGAGGAACATACAGGGTGTATGTTAATAAGAAGATACATCTGAAAGACAAGTAAGCTATACTCTGAAACCATTGGATTTATTACGACGTCGTACACACGTCGAGCTCTGCTTTTGTAGAGACCTTTGAAAATAGCACGGGTATTTCTCTAAACTTCACTTTAGCCACAAGAGGTCACATTTCGGCGTGCAATTTCACTGATATTTGGTAGATGGAGGACTTCTATAGCGTCACAACGAAATCGGATTGCAATAGACTATATTTTGAGCTAATAAAAAATGCTCGTTCGTATTATGTGTTCTTCCCAGATCCTCTGTTTGGAACGGATCTGTCGATATGCAGTGCGTGAATCAGAAACCCGAGATCTCCAAGACGCACCGAACGGCTTCAGAACAGAGTTAAAGTTCAACTCAGATACAAATATCTAGTAATCCACAATCTGGGTTCACTTCATTTTTGCATTCAGTGTAGGATTCCGTTTTTATTTTCATACTCATAAGAATTTCGTCTTATGTCGATCTCTAACACGCAAGTGCTTCAACACATATATATATTTGAATCCGTTAATTTTTTCTGCAAAACTACAAAATTTAGCCGATTTTCTAATTATCTACCATCATAAGCTTGCAAAACGCATTTACCGAAAGTACTTTATCTCATGGGGCTTTTTTCATCATGACGCTTCTTCTTATAGTTTTTTGCACAATGCGCGTTAGATACACTGTGCTTTCTATATTCGTTAATTTTTTCTATTTTATGCTATTAAAACCTATCTCCAAAGATGAACGCTACTAATCCAATAGACAACTGGCCTTCAAGAACCCCAAAGCTTCGTATTCCTATTGATTTTTTTGCGAGGAGGTACTCATCCAGACCAAGCTCTATGAACAACACCTTTTCAACGCTGACGTTTCTTTGCTGATCCTGTAATGTTTCTAATTGTATGCTATAAAGCCGACTACGCCTCAATATTTGTTACTATACCATACAGGGAGCCTGACAGATCTACCCGTTTGTAGCGAAGTTTATATAACAAGCCCGGCGCCGAATTACAGTAGCTAAGATGCGGTAGACGTATGAACGGCCAAATCGTACACGCCGTTTAGGCGTGCATTTTTTTCTCGATTCATATCGCGGGCGTGTTACCGATCCTCTATCATCTAAATTCATCGTTTGCTTGTACACATGTACGGGTATGTATGGAAGGAATGATATGTCGCGAATACCGATGCTGTCGCTGCTATTGCTGTAGTCGTCAACAGTTGCCTATAGCCGTTTGGCAAAGATGTAATAGTAAACTTACCTTTTCCCTCAGGGGTTAATATTGGCTTTTCTAATGATGGGTTGTCTTTAAATTCATGTGGTCGTTTCCCGGGGCGCCATGCCCCGCTCCCAGTATTGACTCCGCCACACAACGACTACACGTACTACTACGTTATTGCCCCTACCGCGGTCGTCGAAACAGTGGCCAACCGCGTACAAATGGTGTGCCCTCACACGTGTAATACCATACAATGCATGTCATCCATGATACAATGCCATATCCATGACATAACATAGTCGTCAGGTAATGTAAGTCTATTAGGTGTGGGTGAGGCCAGTAGGAGATATGCGTGAAACGATTGTGAGAACAGAAATAGAATGAATACTCTAACGCTGTCTTTGCTTTTTGTTAAAAAGGAAAGATGCAGTAACCAACAGGCAGCTCTATTTCGTCTTACTTGCTGGGTTTCTTTGATACTTGGTATTGGTCTAAGCGTCTTCAGTCGAAACGTACACCGGCGGCACGCGTCTCCGTGAATGTCCCCTGATAGTTGTCGTTGTGCCTTTTTTGCTGGTGCCGCTCCGGTGTGTCGCTGTTGTTGTTTAGCGATCAGAGAGCTAGGGCGTTTGGGAGTCGCATCTATGACAAAGACCTTTTTGTAAAGCTTGCAGGACGGTACGAATGCTACCGAATGTTTTCAAAGCATTCGTACATTTTCGGCACATTTTATGGAGTTTATCTTTAGGTATCAGACGTCGACCACCTGGTTGACGCACTTCAACAGTAAAAATTATTTTTTCATGAAATAGTGAAGTTAGCTACACTTTTTGAAGTCTGTCGGTAACAAATATAGGGCGTTAGCTTATATTAGGTAAATATTACGCCAGGAAGCGCCCACTCGAGTTATCATTGGCTATCGGAGCTACCGTTCAAACTAGCTTTATGTTTACCTCGAAAAACTCGTTTTCGATAGAACCTGGTTGCTAATAAAATGCAAATAATCCATTGGATGGTTAGCTGGATTAAGTTTTTTTTTCCTTATGGATATCTAAAATGCGCATGCTATTACAGTTTCCTTGCCGTAGACTTCGGCCACAACTTCATATTGGACGCAAAGATTTGTGTTTCGATGAGGTCTTGTTATTTTCTACGGCAGCAGTTAGCAGAACTAGCATTGATAACTTTAGAGCCATAAGACAGGAAATAAGCATCCGGATAGCTGTCTCACTATTTATGATTTTTTTCATTATCTAAATCCAGCTTCTAAAGTTTCGGTTCCGAACTCCAGTGTGTAACTTTATTTTTATAACTAACAAGCGACTACCGCTAATCGTGAGTACAATCTTCACGCAATGAAAAATCGATTAGAACGAACAATGTAAATATTGCAGTAACAGCCTTTACGTCGTGGCTTGTTAAGGGCCTGAGAAGTGCCTTCAGTGGCCTAAACGCTATCGCAGCCTAAACACACATTTCTATCAAACAGAAATCGGATTAGAATAATAATAGGACCTGCGTAGTCCAGATTTAGTCCAGTCAATCCAGATTTAGTCTCTATTTTATTTCTCAATTTGGATTTAGAAAAGGCGGAAAATTATGAATGCAATATCTACATCCTCAGAATATTATTTAGGCAACGTTCTAGTTACTGCTGTCGTGAATGATATTTTTGTAATATTTGTGATCTATGTTTTTGTTTATGCTTATGAAATTTTTGGCTTGAAAACTTGGTGAGTTTGCGCTAAGTTAATTAGACCGCTGCAAAAGCGACAATCGGTTCGTCTTAACTTAAAAAAAAATAACAACTTGAGTGTAAGATAGGCAGTTATCGATAAAACTAGATCTTTTTTTTTTGGGGGTTTCTTGTAACGATCGATCGCCCGAACGTCTATCTCATAGAAATACAGTGTGTAATTAGACTAGAACGATACGTTGTTTCTCCTAGCAAGATTATAATTGGTGATCTGTAAAATACACACGTAAGTATACTTCTATCCAATACTTTTCTCGTATCTTCATTTCGTTCTCGTGTCGTCATGCCTCGACACACCTTCTAAAGCATTTTTTCAAGGCAAACATGCCTTATTTAAATTACGGGCACAAAATTCGGCACATGCTTAGGCCACATATGCCATAGATCAACAAACTGTACCGACGACCTAGTTTTGAGTAATAATTAATATGAAAGTTTTACTTGTTGTTTTCGACTTGTTTTGATAGGATGCTTTGAAATCCGCATGACCCATCAAATAAAAACATGCGAAATAGAATTTAATTGTTGACGGACTTCTAGATACATTGTATGTACATATTTCAAGTTTCGTTCATTCACTTTATATACTTCAAGTTGGAGGACGCACAACTTTTTTGTAGATAGTCTGATAGTATCTTGCTATATACAGAGCTCTTAGAAGAATATAGAGTTTTTTAATATTATTATCAAGGTACATTGGCTTAAGCAGAAAATAGAAATGGTTATTTCGGTTAGTTATTTACTAGATATAATATTGTTATTCAAATATTCTTCAGTATTTCTGTGCCCAGATAAATTGGCAGATTCACCAGAATGACACGGCCCACCTAGTCTTAAAGCGCGAAAAATAATATCACCAAGTAAAAATAAGCTTGTTTGTTATTTTAATGAGTTAGTCATCAATATATGCACGTAAGATATTTGTATGCCGTTCTTATATGATAATTTTTTTACAAGTTTCTACATAGTGTCGCTACTAGGAAATATTTTATTTACGTGCTGAAATCGGCGCGTCAGTAACCCCAAAAAACATTTAACAATTTATCTCTACTTAAATAAATAATGAGATCTGAAAAAGCAAAAAATAGTTGATAGTTACAGACTGTTATATATATATATCACTGAAGTCGTAATGCTTGTATAAAAATTGTCTCTCTTTAGATAGTGTTGTATCATATACTATACTTTTAGTGTTGCTCTTCTAACAGTTCGTATGCGTTCAGTTTCGCTTCTAATAGCAAAGTAAACGAAATCCTATCCTGTGTACCATTATCCTAAGTATATACGGTATGATGGTATTCCACTGTAGATGTTGGATTAAAAAGCTGCTGTCAAAAGCAGTTTCTCCGAAAGTGAACCGCTTAGACGGATAATGAGTTAAGACATGATAGTATTCGGTGTCCCAAACCCATTCGGTCAGTACCAACTCATTGGCTGCTACAAGCCGAGCTGGGCTTGTTCGCAAAAAGTAGTCATCTGTTGGCGCTACGCGGGTATGTTGTCTCGTATTTTTAACATGCATTTCCATGCTAACACTTAGTAGTAGTAACACGTAGTAGACACCCTGTATTAATCAAAAAAAGAACAGTTATATTTTCTAAGTATAATATCAAAGATTTCATTGATTATATTGACATCGCGAAAATGTAAAATTGAGCTTAATAGGTAAACAGAAGCGTATACTTAAACCTTACTTTTTGGTTAGGAAGCCACGGAAGCTAGTGAGTAAGAAGCGTACTGCTAGCTCAATATAATACAGTAACTCGACATAATACGCTCCTTCCTAAAACGCATAATTTACTTGGGTTTTTTTTAGATAGGATTTTGCTATACGAATTTTCCGTATGGATTTTTAAGTACAGCACTAGAGTATGGCAATGATTAATGTCATAAAAAGAGTTAGATTGTTTTTTTGGCCTTTAGAGTACGGTGTTTAAATTGGTAGTGCACTAATCATAGAACGTAACCTATTGCAGGATTTACAACTGACAGACGCTGTTCCTTGTTGACATGCTTACGACCTCGCATGGATCCATTCACTGATTCTTCACCGATACTTCTCGCTCCTTCTTGGGGAACTGCTCTGCCTTTGATGACGATATCTTTGCTCGCGTCCGATTTCTATAACATATCTCTTTGGAGGACCCGGGATGGCAAAAATTGCATCGAATCCCATCGAAATGACTGGCTTGAGCCAGTTAAGTGGAATTGGCAATGGATAGAAAGTACCCATTGGTATCGATGGCAATACTCCTATCCTGGAACGTATGTACCCGACGCTCATTGTTTGCTCTCTTATACGGGACCAATAGAGTCTACGATGTTCTAATTGGATCTCTTATCTAGTTTACTTCTTTCATTAGTGGCTAACTCAAGTTCAGATCGCCGTTTCAGGTATTGTGTGATAGTGGCTCCGTTCGCATGCGAGCACTGTTCCGTCACACTTTCAGGTCCGTTTTTAGTGATAAAAGATACGTCAGAAGAAGCAGCATGCTGCCATGATGGAAAAGTTCGTTTAAACTCCACTGGTGTGCACGAGCATAGGCTTGAACCGTTGCGCAAAAAGAGCGTCAGCGTCCGCTTGACGCTAAGTGTCGCTCGATCACCTTGGAGCAACCATCGTTGCGGAACTAGGTACACAAACCCAGTTCAGATTATTGGGCCAAACCATTATCTTGTCTGAAGTGCCGGCTAATGCTTCGATATAAATTATTTGCCTATAACGCTGTCTAGCGATATACTTGCTTTTCTCACAAATCAAGTTTCAATACGATGACGCCAAACAGACAAAGTCAATGGAGTTTGTAGAATCATAAAGTAGGCATTTGTAGTAAGACAATGAACGATCCTACAGATAAATTCACATTTACGGTTTACACGTTACCAGAGAGGTTGATATATTTGCGCCATCACATTGATGATTGACGTGCATCGGACGCAGTGAAAGGGCTAGTCATGGAAATTATTATCTGAGTGCTAAGAAGAAAACGCAATCAAATGATGTAATCTCTATGCAAGACCTATACCTAGAGTTCGTATTCAAACGTTCGAGCTTAAATTGCCTGTATATTTAAAAAGGTGAGATTGGCTACGCTAGTTTCGACATTGTATTCTCGAATTTATTGCAGATTCTACGTGGAGTTCTTTAGCTCCAGTGCCTGTCATCGCCAGATCATGTTCGCTGAACTTCAGAAGCTAGCTGCAGATGAACTCCTACTGGACAAGGACTTCCGACTGCATGATGTTCCTAAAAACCTAACTAGTATCTGTGCAAAGCTCACTCCAAGGTAATTTAACAGCTTCTATAGAAAATTCTATTAAGAAAGGTAACTAGCTTATGTTGATAGCGCTGGCGAGTTCTCGGTTATACATACAATACGAGAGTAGCTCTATTAGGCAGAACTCGATGAAGTAACGCCACCAAAGCAGATGCCGAATTAACAGGTGATCCGTAAAGATTATGATTGAACCTTACGTGACCCAGCTGTGCTCTTCGTTCGGTGAGCAGTTATAGGTCTTAATTACTATAGCCGTTTCCAATAGTTACCTTATTTTATCAAAAGCTACGTCTTGTTTGGAAGGTGCGACAAGTGTGCGTTCAATTGCCCTGCATCGTTTCATTCAATCGTCTTGGCAAACCTCAGCATTACTCCGTTACTTGACATGGCCAACAGTCACGAGCTAGCGGGGTCTATTAACTTTCGTAATGCTTATTCCCGGCCATTTGCAAGATACGCGATGTTCTGGCTTGTGATGACGTTCGTGTCGTCAACGATTAGCGTCGTTGTCAACCGCATGAGAACGAAGTCCTTTGCAACGTTACCACGATTCGTTAGAGGTTCAAACAGCTTTCCTCACAGCGCTCTTGGCGACAGACATATTGTCCTTTGCATGCATTGTAATGAGTAGGAAAAGCAAAAAGTAAATCTATATATTGGACTATATGAGATTCCGAAGGTTTATAATAAATTTACTAAATATCTGGTATCGTTTTGGCTATTATGATTTCTTTTAGAAATAGCACTTTGGATAGCAAATTTTACTTTATTCAAAGGAGGTAGAATATTGTTATCGTTACAATATCCTTGTCACCAAAGCTGATTACGCCTGATTTTGGCCACCGTGTCTGCTGGAATATGCGAGCTTTAACGCATGCACATAGAAAGTGTTCTTTATTACCCTATACTTATGGGCTCATTAATGCTGAAGATTCTCTGCCGCCGCAGCACCTGTATAAAAAAATAGCTAAATCGGTTCTCTTATCTTTCTCTGAAATTGCAAAAAAAAAACAAACTATTCCAGTTTAGGTCATCATTGTAATTCCGTTGAATATGAGGTGGGTGCAACATCAAAAAGTTCAAAGGTCAGAGCCTGCAATACCTGAAAAAGGTGAGAGACAAACCATTATTACGTTGCCGACCACGATCTGCAAAAGGAGCCTGATACTAAAGAAACGATTCTGAAAATATCATTCAAAACCCTTTAAGTTGAAGATATTATCCATAGAGCAACTTTTGCCAGTGTAATTACTGCGGAGTAGGTCGTCATAACCATAACTCTTGTATCTGACGTATTAACACCTTAAGGTTTTTAGCTCGTACCAGTGACTGACTAGAATCATTTTGGCTAAGCGTAACCAAGTGATGCGCCGTTACCTAAAGCGGCCTGACCCTGGAATCGAACCTTAGATCCCATAACTGCCGATCCGGCGCAACGGGATGAAACACAGATATTAACAATTTTCGGCGACATCTCAATACTGACTCTCTCAGGAACATTGTTTTTTTTTGTTTCGTTGCTATAAAGGCCTGCTAATATTTCATACTTTTACTCGTATCATGCTTTGAAAAGCAGAATAATGTTTGTACATTGTACAAAAGGTCGTGCCTATTCCCTTCAACGGAAATATATTAGTCTGAAGACATTGTTTCATTTACATCCTTGTTCGAAAGTAGGGTTCCGCTCCTATCTTTCTAAATCTTTGCTTGCAGAAATCAAATTGTACCTTTAGACAGTCCGGCAAACTGTTCGTTAACTGAAATTTTATTTGCACTTACTTTTGCTAGCGGCGGTTTACAAGAAACAAACTTGCTTTATTCATGAAATAGTCGTTAGCGTTAGATCCAAAATGGCCACCAAGGTGTACCAGTTGGGTCAGGCGCCCTTGACAGGTTTAGGGGCGTTTTAAAGTAAAACAGCTTCATATCGACGTTTGTCTTGAACAGAAAAACTTTTGTTTTCACTGGAAATATTTTAAGTAGAACTTCGAGCAAGTCCAAGTCTTCGTTCTTAGTTGGTTAAGTCGTTGCAGACAGATTAAAAAACACAGCATTTGTAAGTAACGAATGTATTCCTATCAGCGCAATATAAAAAAGCTACAATCTCGTCGCGCCGTGGTTGAAAATTTTTCATTGTTTATCAGCCAATGCAGCATTTCGAAGCTCCAAAGTGGACGCGTACATTTTTTAAAATCTATTTTGACTCGACCATTGCGAAGGTAGAACGAAAATTAAGAAGGTTACTTATCCTAGGTGTTCGTCGATCGCGGCATAGACCTCAAAATACTCATTACACGAATTTATTTAACATATAGAGGAGGCGAAGGATAATATTAGGAGCTAGGTATTTGTTAAATCTGTTAATTGGGTTTTTTTTTTCGCTGTCATCATTATTATAATGACTTTTGCTCTAGCTCGGATACTATAGAAACTATTAATATCCTTGACATTAGAATCATATCAAGCTTACTTCTTCACTGATTTACAAGTAGATGCAGAAAGAAATCGGCGAAAATGATCTTCTGAAAGAACATGAAATTTTTCTGGACGATTTTGTCCTTATGCACGCTCGCACAAATACTACAATATATATTGTATCATTATTATATCGTAGATTACTATATGTTTCGGTTTATTGGTATGTCGCCATCGGTCGTTGACTCCCATCAATTGCGTTACATTGTCGTTATATGCAACCTTAAATTAGTAAAATTCTGAACAAGAAGTCCTGTTTCAGTCTTACTACCCACCTATGTACTCGATCGACGGTCGCTTTACACAAAATGCCGAGGCGGATAGTAGTAAAGCGTCACGTAAGCTACGATGGTTAACTTTAAGCGATATAAAGAAGAAGTTATTTTATTTATCTTGTTAAAATTGAATTTCCAAGATAATCGTAAACATCAATTTATTACCCTCTTTACTGTTATCGGCATTAGTTGAATTAATGCACTTGTTCAATTGCTATTAGCATTAGTGATTACAGTATGTTAACGGTCTGATGTTGACCGTTCGTTTAAATGTTTGAAAGTTACTACATTTTGATGCCTTTGTCAAATGCTACCCTCTGTGTACAATTCATATGTACAAACCACTCTGGACACCTATTTCTCCTCCTTGATCTAGATCAGACAGATTTAGGCTCCGGACTCAATCAGACAAATGGCGTAAAGTTATTGTATGTGATAGCTGGCTGCTTCCGTTACAATACACTGCTAATTCATTTGCGTTACATAATCACAGTATAGCATTCACTGTAATGAACTATAAATACGCATATATAATTATGTGTAGGTCGTTTAGTAGGACCTTACGAGCCTTTCTACCTGCCCGCGCTCGCTGAATGCAGCCAAGGTGGATTTGTCTATCTGAAGTCTAGTATAATTGACCTCCGGCGCGAAAAACAAGGCAATATAACAGTTATGCGGCTGTTGGTTGACCTACTATTGACTAACAGAAAGCATACTACGGTAGCGTAAACGGTAAACTATAGTCGTGTAGCACCCATTGTCGCCTACAATGATTCCTTCTGTAAACACACAGTCATATTGAGAAAGGCAAACTTAGTAATTCCAAGTAACTCACTAACTCATTGTTTTGGAAACTGCTAAATAAAAACTGTTAAAATAGAAGAAGAACAAAGCACATACGGTGAAACGGAAGAAACTACGTGAGGAAGCACAAAGTCGTATTAGGCCGCGTTCCTTATAATGCCGGCGCTGACCTAGTCAGATTACAGGCATATAGTTAATTCACTTAAGTGTGACAAGCAACTAGGCGCACACTCAAAAATACCAGCTCAAATCCAGTTTTTTTTCTATAATCATTTAGCTAGTCCGCTGAAAACATCAAGTTCAGCGCAAAACAGCTTTCGAAAACTATTAGCGACTTCTAGAAATCGGAAGAAATAATACTAGCCAATGCTGGTTTATTTTCATGAATACCCAGAACTTGGACAAAGCATAGCGTGTGCGATAGGTGATATAATCTTATCTTGTTCAACAAAGATAAATCACTCAACCCAAAATAAAAAAAAAAAAATACAGTTCAAATCGTCCATAGAGAGAATATTGGCATTGCTCTGTTTTTCATACGAACGCCTGGACGTTCTGAACATCCTCTACCCCCTTTGCAACCTGGAAAAGAGATCACTGACCATCCACATGTATCAAGGGAACAAACTGCAGAAAAGGCCTGGTTACCGCGCAAATAGGTAACTGCCGTGCTTTTCATATGGCACCGTTTTGCTAAGTATCAATATAATTCGTATTGTTTATGCCAAATAAACTAGTGTACATCCACAAGTTCAATGACAACCTCCGATGATGGACACATTAATGAGACCCCTTACGCTATTCTAGGAAGCCACAGACCCCTGCTTGATGCTTCGCCGGCACAAGCCTCACATACGCTGAATGCGTTTGTAGCGAGAACGAATGCGTAAAATCGCTCCGAAGTTTTAATTTGAAAAATATAGCTATAATTGAAAAAGTAGGTGCACTAAGCCGACATGCGCGAGAGATGCTAAGCACCCATAAATCAAGACTCATTTACATGTGGATACTGTTTATAGTTAGAAAAAAAAGGATCGCTGCATCGTCTTCCGGGGGCAGGAGTAGGCCGCTTATAGGCAAACACTTGATACCTAAGACAGGCCTTTGGTGCTATGCGCGAGTCTGAATCCCGGCCGATACATAGGATCTCCCTTGCATTTGTGAATTCAATAAAACACACGTAAATGTGCATTTAGTCCAACTTCTTTTCTTTGGTCTAGAAACACTAATACAAATATAAAACGGTACTATCCCACCACCGTCTTCTCCTTAATCCTTGTTCAGGGCAAAGTCATCACAATCAAACTTGCAGAAAACTTCAGTTGTCCACCTCGTCATCGACACAAACGTCGTCTTCGTCGTGAACTGGGACCAGAGACATGCGCAATTTGCCGTCCGGTCCGACTTCGGTTTCCATATCTTCGGTAGATGCAATTCCTTTTCCAGCTGAGGCCGTTTTGACGGAAGTGCGTACAGCATCCTTCCGCCGATGAGTGCTGCCGCCGGCCGCTTCATCATTCGTGCCGTCATCGACCCCTACCTCACCAATGCTTGCTCGTTCCCACGGGTGTCATAAGTTTCGATCTAGAGTTTTCGACTTGATGCGAAGATCCTTTACTCCGTTATTGTCGGAGGGGAGGCTGCCCTAAACAGTAATTGAAAGGAGCGGGTTAGACTAACGCAAAGTAACATGTTGCGCCATATGTGAACGAAGTACGCGCTATTGTGTGACAGGATGTAAAACATATCATTTCTATAAATAGCTAAAACTATCTTCGGTCAGTTACTAGGTCCTACATTGGAAAGAACATTGTTAGACATACGAGAAACCGAATGAATGTTTATCTCGTAATTGTATGCTATCTTGTTAGGCGCACATAATCCTCTTAGAAGGACAACAGCTCGTTGCTAAACATTACGAGAACAATAAAGAAGAAACAGATTTTAGGTTTGAAGACTATACTGTATTTAGAAAACAGGAAATAGAACTTATCTAAAACGGCACTAGTACAATGCGAGTTCGACAGGCAAGAACTATTCAGGGCTGCATTTTAAGGTATATCCGGCACGCTTTTATTGCAGAAGAATTTATTTAGATATCAATTACTGAAATTCGGTAGGATACACTGACATGGATTTATCATGACATACTGATCTTGTTATAACGATCGAATTTTCATATGTTTGTTTGCAGAGTAACTTTGACATCATCTCAAATGATTGGTATGCTAGCACGATTGTAACTTGCACGAACTATTTATGTCTACAGCGCATCTGTTACTACCCCAATGTAGACCAGTGAGGTAGCAGTCGGCTACTTTTGTATAGGCTATTTGCAGCGGGACCGATCTATGGATAGCCACCTCGCGATGCCCTTTTTTTCTCCAGCTAACTCGCTCCTATAACGCCCTAAAGATACGGACCAAATAGGAAGCAAGGGGCGTGTGAAAACCCATAAGCCGCCTGTTGCATTATCCAAATCATATCACAGCGAAAACGAGCGATCGCTAGCCAGTCTTGTCGAACATAATCGTACTTAACGAGAGTTCTGGAGTGTCTGAAGCCTACTTCAACAGTTGATATAAAAGCATTAGCAGCCATATTGCAACGAGCGTAGCGTGTGGATGTTGATGCGGAGTTGCGCCTATAAATCTAATTTGATTCTCTCTATATAGCCGTACAACATGTGGATCAATGTATTATTAAGATTTATTATAACCAACACTACAGAACAAGTTGCTTTCTCGTATTCAGCAGAGTGCAGATTAGAATTCAGACTCTGTTATTTTGCTTGTTACGTTCGGCTTTGCTCTCTAGTAACACAAGATACATTTGTGTTTCGTCAAATTCTAGTTCAGTCATTACCGTACAAGACTTCATCCATAATAGACGATTGCTGATAACAGCACTAAACTATTGTTGTGCTTAATTGTGATTCTGCTCAACCGAATTTTTTTCACTTCAGGCCATATACGGCCTCTTGCTATTTACCAGATGAAGCCTGATACGTTAGTAACTGGCTGGGTAGCATCCTCTGTTCAAGTTCTTCAGTTCACCGCAGATACTAACGTCCATATACAGCTAATCTATTACTTCCTTTGCTATTTCCGTTCAAGCCACTCACCAAAAGGCCAAGATTGTGCACGAGAATATTTGACGCTACTGCATGAACCAGAGAAGGTGACGTCGACGAAGGGGAATGGCTGCCATTATTGTTGACGCTCACGTGACCAGCTTCCGTTGTTGTGGGGGCACTGACTCGCGTAGCACTGCCAGCGTTGAAGCCAAGCAGCGCATTCAGCGCTAACGGACTTAGGCCACCGGTCAGATGCAGGCCGAGGGGTGAAGGGCAGGATACCCCCAGCCAACGGCTCTCGCCCACCAGTCCTCCGGGATTAACTCCGTAAGCTTGATTCTGATGCTGTGCCATAAGGAGGGCGTATTGATGGGCCGCGGCTGCTAGCAGATGTTCATAAGGCAGCGAGTTCGGCCCAATCCCGCCCATACCCAAGTTTCCGCCACCTGCTGAAGAAAGCTGTTGAAGAGAATTCCGAAATTAGACGTAAGAGACGCATATAAATAACGACAGGCGAAGTACTTGGCGAGGCACAAATGGAACCGATTTTTAACAGTAATATATTGATTTAACGTAACTTTTACGCTGACGGTAGGTAGACGTTTAGCTACTGTCAATTTAGGATTTTTTCTGCCCCAATTAACATAAAAAGACTTAAAATATCGTTAAATCTACACGTGGTTAACTTCATCAACGATTAACAAGCACACTTGTGATGAAATAAGAAAATGCTTATTATAATGCCATCGTGTAACATTTTAATACGAAAAGAAGCTAGCTATCCGTAAGCTGGATATTACGCGTCTCTTAGCAGTTTCGATATGTTACAACAGGTGTAGGCGCTGCCTTTGTATAATACGGGATATTGGACACAGTATACATTAAAATATACTGAATTCAACATGATAAACATAAGGCATTATAAAGCAGTGATAATGACATCATAGCTAGGGATATATATGCGTGTTACCTTTGATGACGACTCGATAATACTTGGCAGTGTATGAAAGAGCGAAGTCGATCCAGCCCCTGCTTTAGGTGGGGATGCTGGGGCGCCCGTCGTGGAAGCCGGGCATGGTGATACACAAGGAGCAGGAGATGGCGAATCACACGGTGATAGGCGAGGTGCTTGTTTATCTTCGTTCACCCCTAAGTTAGCATATGGAAGCAACATTTAAAAGTTTCTGGTAATTCGACAAATGAAAAGTTGCGGCCTATGAAAAAAGTACTTGCGTCTGCGATTGGGTAAATTCAAGCTCGCCTATATCTCAACGACTAATTAATCACTTTTTAAAAAAAGAGGACAATACAAGGTCGATGGTATGATCTAGCGCAATCAACACCGCACCTGCGTCACGCGTTGAATTGTTGACGCTCACAAATGCAGATAACGTAATATCCTTCGGTAGACCCGTCTTACTAAAACCGAGAGCTCCCATTGACAATGGTGCCAGCGGGGATATAGATGAAAGTCCGCCTGGCGGAAGAGGCTCGAAGGCTCCAAGCGAAGACAATGAAGTCAGTGGGGACAGGCTGGCGCCCGCGGGGGTCAGATGGCCCAGCTTGTTTTTATGCAGCTGGCTCTCGTGTTTGCGGCACTTGGCGCGTCGATTTTGGAACCACACCTATATAAGCAGATAACGTAGATATCGTGGATTAGCTATCGAATTAAGCCAACATTTTATATAACGAGCCCGAAACGTAGATATACCTATTATATGTAGAGGATTCTCTCTTATATTGATTCCTAGTCATTCTTGCTGCGGAACTTTGCCCGCCAGTGGTCTTTTTAGGCAGTAGTTATGTAGTAATGCATTGTTGTATACGAATGTAAATGCGGTTCATAATGAATTTAGGTGGTTCGAACGACACAAAAATTCCAAGATAAAAAATAAACTGCGAAAATAAAAATCTTTTAATTGAAAGCTGCTATTTCTGCTTTGCTTTTAAACATCGTTAAGATAAATATGTTTTCAATTAATGAACAATTCTAAGTTACAGCGTATGACGAGATACCAGAGCACGCCGACGCGTATCTGGTAAATATGTGGGCGTCCTGTGGTACCTCTCACTCATTTTCGGATTTGACAATTCGTTCTCAGAACCAGACTATTTTCCAGCAGGAAGATTTGCTTTGTGAAACACCTGTATACGCATATGCCATAAGCTATTATAAAACTAAGACACGCTCAGAATCCTCAATCACACCCAAACGCGGGTCTCTATTCACCATTAACTGTTTTGCCTTTGATTAAGTTAGTATCGCCTCGCATTTCCGTTTGCCTACACATTGATTTTTGATTCTCTGTTGGCTTCCTACTTCGTTTGAGTTTCAAACGTCCACCTCTCCTTCGATTCCCTCAACATCCTTCCCTCCACTAATGGGGCGTCGGCCGATAGGACAGGACATGAGCGAAACGACTTTATAAGAATTGTTGTATTATCCGCAGCGCTCCCTTTAAATAGCTCTCGCTCCATGGACCAGCTGATCCGTTCGTATTCTTTCTTCGTATCCGCCGGTGTTCTAAGAGACGTTGGCGTATGAACATTCGGTCCTCGATACAGATGCGACCAGGACTAGCAAGCCGCTGGCTTATCCCCTGTTCTATGCTAGTATGCCGCCGTCGGCAACCCGCGCTCATATTACCGCAATCTACCTCGCGTTCCATACCTCCAGTTTTCTGCTATTTCTCTTTCTCCCCCAAAGGGCGTCTTTCTCCTTCGGCCACGCCCACAATCCACTCATCATTCAGGCCATTATCGTTGCTTGCTTTGGTGCTTTTCAATTGCAACAATGAGGGATTGCAATCCACAACAATGGCGCTAGGAAAGCAGTGTCGTAACGGTAGTAGACCAGAACAGAGAGCAGGAAGCTGGGCGGTACGGAACAGCCGCTAAGGGGAAAGGGCGAGCAAAGTGAACGTTGAGGACCCCGCTAGACAGACATATGCTACCTAATAGGAAGCAGGGGTTCAGTAGCAAAGTTGTTGATGTTGCTATCGTTGAAGCATAGAAAAACAGGGAAGCAGGGTAAGGTCGTGCAATCCAAGGGATGTTGTTGACCATTCAAGGAAATCGAATCACGGACTTGGATCGTGGCCCCCATCAATATGGTGGCTGGTGCTCACCCGTCCGGCGGTTACTGTACAATAATCGGGGGAACAAAAACGCTGATAGCAACATTATCACGGTTGATCGCTGATGGCCTTTACTCATCCGCGCATTGGTCGTCCGCGGCGGATCTAGCCATAGTAGTCGCGGTAATGACACTGTTAACGATAGCTTATTTGATTTCGTAGTGGTACTTACTAATGTAAGCTAGTACGTGATTGAATACGACCACTGAACGTACATTCGAATCGCAAGAGATTTTTTAGTATAACATAGGATCAATTCATAGCAAAAAAATGAATGAACATCAACATAGTGTAACTCGAAAGAATTGTCACGGAACCGTTGCTTTGTTCGATATAAATGCATAGTTCTGGTTTGGTGGCAGTTAACAACAATCAATTTTTAGGTTATTCAGAGCCGTTTAGCGGATAAAAAAATTTGAATCATTAGCAGACGACATTTGGTAAATGTTTTGCAATTTATGAATGTAAATATCTATTAAATGTTGTTGTTAATATTTGGTATAGTGTGCGCTACAATGTATATAGTATAGTATACGTATTGCTCACTATGATAGATCTCCGTCATAGTCTGCTGTCAGAGCGTCTTTAGTCTGAAGTCTTTATCTGAAGCTAATTTAGCGGTATCAAAGGCTAATTAGATTAAAGAAAAACCTATAAATTTAATGCTACATGATTAAATTTCTCTCTGTTGAAGATGAGAGCGCTGATGGAATCCCTTGAAGACTGGTTGAAATACTAGTAAACAGGCGTTTTGCAAAACAGTGATTTATTACTGATGCAATGAATATTGGGAGGTTGAGTATCACAGAAGAGGAGACTAAATCTCAGGCCCTCAAACGCAAGAACAAGTTACTGCCATTGCGAAAGTATCTCGGCTAAGACAACCGTGTGCTTCAGGCCATTTTTCACTGGTAGTAGGTTAAGCAAATTGGCTCTAGAGCATATGACGCGTATTTCCATTTGTCCTAAACTCAATTAGCAAGAATTTGCCACAACTCATTCCTCGGTTTGATATCCTATGATTCAGTAACCTTCCTTCAATCCCCATCCTTTAAACGTTACATCAATAGTAAATTGCTCTTCGTCTGGAGGAGCATTTTCACTGTTTTCGATGGATTCAACGAGCGCTGTCATCTTTGAATAGCGAAACTTAGTCACTACGGGCTTATTTTCAACAATAAGCGATACCCTTGCCTCCAAAGTCATCATTCTCTGATGACGTGTGATCAGTTTATATCAACTCGAACTTATGTCAACGACTTTATGCGATTTCTTACCATGTTTTGTCTACTAGAAGTACGTAGCTGGGAGATGTTCGACCCGTCTCTCCACGAAGCTCAGCGTTTTTGCTAGTCTTATTATGTTATTTCTTAGATTGTAATGCTTGTCAAGCGAGCTTCTAATTTATTGCGAAAACCAATATACTTTCAGGATGCTGAGATTTTACGTAAAGCGGCTTAGTTCGTTCTATGAGCGTCATATCATTGCCGTAGCTCGTGCAACATATTGTTCCCCTTCACAAATCAGTGAAAATTCCGTTAAAGCACTAAACAATCTATGCTGAACAGAAAGATCTGTAGTCGTATAATGTTTCCTTACAAACGACCTGTTAAAGAGAGCCTCTTGCGGCAAATAATCGCATAGGAAAGGACCGCATTGATTCCGCTATACCATAGATCCTCTACCATCAGCTGCTATTCCCGGGGGACTCAAATGCAATTTCAGACGGAGTCTCAAAGACAGGTAAGGCAAAAGTGAGAAGGACAAATCGTCACGATAGCACTGAGACGGCCAAAGAGATTCGAAGCGAGTTTATCGCACCGTCTCTGTCTGCCCATTGCAAGAGGGTACTTGGACAGTCGTCAAAAGAAAGCGGAGCGAACGTAGGACGATGTCGCCAGGTGAAAACACGTTCGTACAATTGGTTTTTTAAGACACAATCTTGTAAAGCGATCCCGCGGGAGACCATAATGTGACTCTTGCAGTACGTTACAATGAGGGAGAATATCAGCCGGAGTAAGTCATACCGGTGGAGAGAGGTGTATAAAAAAAAACGGCCTCAACAAGGAAGAATATGTGTTCCTTGATTGCTCAGCTCCAAAATGTCCTACATCATTGAGAAACATGTATACATGTGCATTAGACCAGGGCTGAGATTAATTGTAGGCATTCTGGTCAGATACTTATTCTATAAGTATTTAAGTAAGCTGCTCATAATGCTAGTTTCTGTTATCGCTCTACATGGATTGGTAGCATGTTTAGGTCTAGTGACGCTTTCAGCTGACTAGCTTGATGTTAACGACAAAGCAAACCTTTAACAAGTAGCGGTTTCCTCTAAACCAGTAGAGTAGTCAGCATTTTATTGATCGAACCCTACACTGTTACTAAATCATCCAGCGTACCTTTACCGTGGCTTGAGCTTTCCCTCGAGACTTTCTAACGTGATTTTTAGAGATGTACCCTAGAGAACCCCACGCTACCGGGAAGCACATAATTCTAATCATTAACCCTCATTGATTCACTGATTGAAATTAATGAACTGTTGATGGTTTGTTGATTCGGATTCTTCTGGTCATTTCCCAGCCGTTTAGGAGGCGATACGCGTGGAAAGATTATTAATAGCATGTTGCGTCGTCTGTGTTTACTAGCGTACTCCACCCCATCGCAATATAGGTAGAAATCACAACAATATTAACATCTATAATGATGACAATAGGAGGGTAATAATGATGATTGGATACTTATTGGCTGGCACGACTGCTATCGGTTGACCTATGGTGAACCGGCTGCCAGTAGCAAAATATCGAGTGCGAGGAGCGCGTAAAGAAATCTTGGGTATTCTTCAAGCGGAAGGCTCGAGTGGTCTAGTGGATCAGATATAACGGCACGATACGATATGGGGTACGATGTCGTGCTAGAGGAAGCTTGAAACAATAGACAGTGCGAGATTATATCTCACAAATAGATGAGGAAGTTGAATTAACAACGACACCGGTCACCGAAAATTTCCTGGGGAAGTGATATATTATTGTCTTTGATTTCGCGATAGCCATAAAGCAGATCTTTGCAGGAAAAAAAGGTGCAATCGACTGAGCGCTACAACATATTGAACGTATTCTTAATATTGTCCATATCTAGTCTGGATACTTCAGTCGATTCAAAAAGGCATAGCATAAAACCAAAAAGTAGTTCAAAATTTCGCGCGTTATCCTTCGTGTAATGTATTGCATTGGAGAACGTACGGCTTTTCTACGTTCAGATGCCGTGTATACCCAACACGCTCTCAGACTGTAGTATCTGTCGAATCTATTTCGCGATACACGTCTTTATAGTCAACATTTTGATACAGGCTTTAAGTTCATAAGTCGTTTAGCAGCTTCTGTTTTTTTTACTCAATTTACTACGTATAGAATATAGGTTTTAAGAACAATGTTGATTTTATTTGCTTTTGTTGTCGCTTGTCGGTAGCGACAAGCGTGGATAATCAA